ATCTCCAATAAACCACTCAGAAAACTGGAAGTGGCGCTTTGGCTCAAGTGATAGAGTACTAGCCTTGAACTGAATTGCTGAGGGACCGTGACCAGGCCCAGAGTTCAAGCCCCACGATTAACAACAACAAAAAAGCATACTAAAGACAGTGAGTTTCCTGAGAGCCCTCCAAAGATCAGAATTCTCTCTTTCTCTCTCTTTTCCCTCCAGGTTAGCCTTAGACTTTAAGCTGTACAGCTAGGATTACAGGCCTAGCTCACACACTGACTAGTTGATTTGTTGAAATGGAACTCTTGCTGGCTTTTGCTCAGGCTAGCTTCAAACTACAAATGTTCTGATTTCCACTGACCAAACAGCTGACCTTAGAGTTGTGTGTCACCAGGCCTGGCCCTATTTTTCTCCCTCATTTGTAGGTTGACGTTTATAACTCCTGAGGTAGATGACACCTTTCCTCTTTATTGTGGTGCCCAGAGCACTGTGGAAGCACCACTCCCTCTATTCTGTCCTGTGGCTAAGGGAATCCATTCTATAAAACCAACTGACAGAACCTCCCATGAGGAGATAGGAGAGATTGCTAGTAGAGAAGGGAGTAAGCCTCCAGAAGCAGTCCTGCTGGAGCCCTGGAAAAGGTGTGAGTGGCTCCTAGCAGGATCATGTCACATTCCCTTTTGATTACATTCCCTACAAGCACAATTTCCTATGCTACCAGTTACAAACCTAATTGAGAGTCCAAGAAAAAGAGCAGTGAAAATCATTGGCTTGAAACAAGTTTCTGGATGTGTGATATTTAAATTAGCCTTCTTCCACCTCTCCCCCTTCCCCAATATCATACCCCTGGACACAGGTCAAAAAGCTCCTAACCCCTTTGCCTAGGTCCGTTAGAACTGATTATTGAGTACGATATGTCACAGAAGAACTTGGGAGGTCTACCTAGAAATGTGAACAGATATTCAGTAAGGTAGCCTGTCAGTTTAGGCTTTGGTCAATAGTGAAAGATAAATGATTGAATCAGTCACTTACTTTTTTCTTCTTCATGTTTCCCGTTGTGGATACTTTTGAGAAACCAGATCCTATTTGTCTTCAAGATCCAAAGAAAGAAAGTGGGTCTACAAATTCATTCCTGCCATTTTTACTAGTCCACACCACAGGCAACTTACAACTTTCTTCCTAGCAACAATTAACTTTTGAAAGTATCTGAAATGTTTCAGTGTAGTACAAAATACATGTGGTTTGGATTCTTGTCTCTTGCACTTGCTAGATGTGAGATTGTGAATTGCTTGTATAATAGCCTAATGCTTAGTTTATGGCCTATAAGAGAAGATACTAAAATTCAGGTCATACATTTGTGGTATGGTTTACTAGGACTGTTGAATGATCTATGGTTGGAGTGTAGTAGACATTTAATAAAAGGTGGTTTAAGGCTCTTTATGCCTTCTTGGGCATAAGCAAGTGAAAAGACCTAATTTAAGAAATGGAAATAAAATTATTTCTCTACAAGGGGCTACATTTAGAATTCTTCTGACTGAACAGTTATTTGTGACCCTCTAAATCATGAGGCTCACACATTTTTACATTTATTTCCTTATAGCCTGGAATATTACATTTCTGTTTGTATGAAGGGCTTGCTCCTGGTAACTGGATCTTTTACTTCCAAATCCTGATAATTTGTGGTAATAGAAAAATAGATGCAAATGATTTTTGTTGCAGACACATGCATCTCTTGTTCTATTAAGAAACCCGTGGTCTCTAAATATGATTTTTAGAGTTGAGGGCAGGAATAAAATGAACACGACATGCTCCTTTAATTTACTTTATTTTCTTTCCAAACTCAGTTTTAAAAGATGGCAAGGTGTTCAAACAAGTTTAAATTTAGTAAACATTGATATATACCAGAGGACATTTGGATGAAAGTGCTGAAAAAATTATTCATAAGGTTTTAAGACAATATGGTCCAAATGTTTGGCTTCAAGCTCACCCCCATCTTATGTGTTACATCATTTGATCTGATGTTTCTAACCATGGGCTATCATAGTTCAGTTTGGTGTTGAGTGATCTCATAAATCATATTAGTGATCTGGTCCCTCTGTTCTTCCCAAGAATGTGGCTTTGATGAACAAACAACAGTTGTAATGTGTTTGTTTCTATCACATGTACATCCAAAGTTATAAAAACTCAATGTTGCACAAGCTCAGAGTTTCACCACGTATATTGTATTGGCTTAGACTGTGTTGGTTTGTCAGCCTTTGCTGTGCTAGACTAAGTAGAAAGGGAAGTCTTTCGAATATTAAGGTTCTGTAAAAATCTTTTGAAACAAAATTCATCTTGTTTCTGTGTCAGGAGATCAAGGGAGCAGGACAAAAGGAAAGCTTCCTGAGGGCATGTGGGAAGCTGGGCTGGCCACTTGATAAATGGTTGGACAGGATTTATTCGCAGGTGCAGCTGGTCACAGAGAGTTCTGGTAAGCAGCATAAAGCTCAAAATCCAAAGTGGAGGCAATATTTACTCCCCTTTCATTGCAGAAGGTCACATCTTCAGCAAAGCAGGCTATCCACTTTTGTTAGAGGGAAGTGGAGACGCTTGGAAGCTTGAATTTGCTTTCCTTTTGTGAATCTAGAAGTGCTGGAACTGGCTCCTGCTGGATCACCAGAGCCAATTGTACATTTCTCTTCCCAACTCCATGCACACTGACATCATAGTGGTAACATGAAATTGGCCATTGTGGGAGTAATATGCACCACATCAATTGGCTAATGCTGCAGATTTTCCACTTCAGGACAAAGCTGCCTTTGAGACAAGTATGGAGAAATAATTATTTTATTGATTATCAATCAAAAATCTAAGGATAAAATGTTAAAGTGTTCACAACTGAAAACTAGATACCTCATGTAAATTAATTAGTAATTTATATGGGAAGTCTAGTAATTTATACTCCAATTCCTTCACATACTATGTGTGCATCAAAATGTAGACTTTCTCTTAAAAGCCAACATTGAAGTGACAGATAAGTAACTCTGTGGTACTCATTAAATATTATAGCACACTTGTTCATAAGTCAACAGGAAGACATAATTAAGGCTCTATAATGTTTATTAAAATATGTGAACCAAGAAGAAAATGTGGGTTAGAGAAACTTAATATTGATCATTCAGTTTTGTTTTCTTTTTTGAAAATCCACCAATGGATTTTCAATGGAAAGAGATTTCAAAATAATATTTCTTAATTCTCTTGACAAGCTTTGTGTAAAACCAAGAAAACAAACAAAATACTAGACACTTTCCATTGCATCATAGCTAGTCATTACCCGTATTTTAAAGATGAATTGTTAGAATTACTAGGTAGAGGCTGTTTTGGTTAAAAATGACTTTTATTTTTATTTATTTTAAATTTATTTATTTTATTGTAAAGGTGATGTACAGAGGGGTTACAGTTACATAAGTCAGACACTAAGTATGTTTCTTTTTGAACAGTGTCACCTTGTCCATTATTTTCTCCCAGTTTTTCCCTTCCCAATCCCCCTCTCTACAAGATGTATACTGTAGTTCATTTTCAACACAGTGTCTAGTGAATGTCACGGCTGCATTTGTTCAACGCTTTGTCCCACCATTTCTGTACTCCCAATTACCTCCCCAAATCAGATAAATTTACATACAAGACAAAAGGTACAGAAATCAAAAACAGCAACCCAGGAGAAACAAACAAAGACAAAGAAACCAAAACCAAACTGAAAAGCAAAAGAACAAAAATCCTCTTAAGGGCAAGTTTGTACTTATGTTAGACACAAGAGAAGCTATTTATAAAGATCACTTTAAAAAAAATGTGGCTACTTATTAAACATTTGGTGTCATCAAAAGCAGAAGCTTACGATTTAGAAATCCAGAACACCCATCAACAAGGGCTGTTGGAGGGAACTCTATAAGGTCAAGGAATACATAAAATTCTTGTTTTATAGTTTAGGGGAGATGATTCTTGATATAAACCTCAAGCACCTGGTCTTGCAACTATCAGATCATTATCATTCATTCATCAGCTCAAGATATATTTATTAAGCATTTCTGTGTAGATAGAAGTACATATTTATAAGAATGCCTTCATGTACTTTACAAGTAAAGGCTCATCCTGACACTATTTGGGAAAAAATCACCCACCAATAGCATACTGGGAATGTCATGGGCCTCCCTTTGTCTCATGGTTCTCTTCCATTTGTAGTTTTGTAGTTCTGCCACATTTGACATGACTCCCTTTTCCTGTTATCTACAAGTAGATTTATCAAGTAGATTTCTTGTTTCGGTGGCTTTTCTGAGTAAGGACATGAGGCAGTGAGTGGAAAGGACCTTCTTTTACCTGGAAAGTTTTGTTTGTGTACTGTGGTAGGCACTGCTGGATGTAGAATAACCACCTTTGTAATTGGCTCTCTGGGGCTTATTCCATTTTGCTTTCTTTGGGAACAGTTGTACTCTACAGATGACAGGTCTTTCTTTACCCCCAGGAACAATGTCTAGAAGTGGTAGTCTTCTCCAAGAGATCTCCTTATTTTCCCTCTGAGAATCATTGCCATGTTCAATGGAGGAAATGACTTTTTGAAGGGACATGCAATTTGCTGTCTTTTGTAAATGACTAGAGCTGCCCTCCTGGGTCCCCAGGATCTAAAGGGTCTGGGGTAGGGGTGGGGGGAAGTCAGTGATCAGGAAGAATATTCTTGGTGAAGTGATAATAGATGGCCATCATTTGCACTGGCTGTCCACTTCCCAGCTTTCGTTAGGTATTTTTAAATATATAAGGAAACGCAATTGGGTGGAATCTCCAATGAGCTGCCACATGGTCCAATATGAGAGTATGGCCGGGTAGCGCAGGTGGGGAATCTGTGTCATTTATATATTATTCTTCCAATTCAAAAGCCTTCATTCTCGCTATTGACATGTGGTTTTCCCTTCCTCCCCCCTTCCTGTCTCCATTCTCTTTGTATTTGGTGTTTCTCCCCTGGATTCTTCCTTCTTTCCCAGGTGTGTTTGATAACTGCTCCCACACCATCAGTGACAAGGGCTGGGCGCTGGGGATCCGCACGGGCAAAGAGAGGGGAAGGAGAGACCCTCGCTTCTTCTTCTCCCTCCGAACCGACCGTGTGAAGAAAGCGACCCTTGTGACGGGCCACAGTCACTACCAGCCGGGCGTGTGGACACACGTGGCCGCCACGTACGACGGGCAGCGCATGGTCCTGTATGTGGACGGCGCGCAGGTGGCCAGCAGGACGGGGCAGTCTGGTCCTTTGCACAGCCCCTTCATGGCATCCTGCCGCTCTTTGCTCCTGGGTGGCGACACCTCGGAGAGCGGGCATTATTTCCGTGGTCATCTGGGCACGCTGATCATTTGGTCCACGGCGCTCTCACAGAGCCAACTGCAGTCTTCCAGCCAGGCGGGGGACGTGGGCGCCCTCCTGCTGACCGCCACGTTCGAGCTCCTGAAGGAGCAATGGATCCCCTTCAAGGACGAGACATACCCTCAGCTGGAGGTGCTCAAGGCCTGGGAGGAGCCCCAGCCCGAGGTTCTGTCACCCTTGCACCCCCCGCCCTGCGGGCAGACCGTCTGCGACAACGTGGAGCTGATCTCCCAGTACAACGAGCACTGGCCCCTCCGCGGGGAGAAGGTGATCCGCTACCAGGTGGTGAACGTGTGCGACGACGCGGGGCTGCGCCCCACGGTGAGCGAGGAGCAGATCGGCCGGCAGCACGCGGCGCTGGCGCACGCCTTCGCGCGCTACAACATCAGCTGGCAGCTGAGCGTGCACCGCGTCCACAACTCCACCCTGCGGCACCGGGTGGTGCTGGTGAACTGTGAGCCCAGCAAGATTGGCAACGACCACTGCGACCCCGAATGTGAGCACCCGCTCACGGGCTACGACGGGGGGGACTGCCGCCTGCAGGGCCGCTGCTACTCCTGGAACCGCAGGGACTCGGTGTGTCACCCCGAGTGCAACAACATCCTGAACGACTTCGACGGCGGGGACTGCTGTAACCCCCGCGTGACGGACGTGCGCAAGACCTGCTTTGACCCGGACTCACCGCTGAGGTAAGGAGCTGGGGATCTGTCTGCTGTGGTGGTGGTGGTGGTGGGGCTGTCCTTGCTACTTCTAGAGGCAAAATGGGGTGCGCCTTAGTCCCCAAAGACAGCATTCTTGACATCCTTCCCCATCAGACTCTATGGAACTTTCGTGCAGTAAGCCAGGCTTTGCCAGGTAAGTGGGAGCAGACGGGTGGCTGAGGTCACCGACAATTGTGCGCGCCAGTGTGCAATGCACTGACCACCTGTGTGCACCAGGAGCCTGGGGTGCAGGAAAGCTGAACCATTTTCTTTACCAGTGGGGCGGGGCGGGAGGGAAGCAAGGAATCTTCCAGGACAAGCATTCTAAAGAGTAATAGACTCCAGTCAACAGCACTTGGGCACAACTGTTCATGCTACCTGTTCCCAGAGGCGTTCAGCACGGTAATGTGGATGCAAAGGGAACTCGCAGTCTCTGTCCTTGGTACAGATTGAGCAATTCATTGGAAGCATGGACGCCACAAATCTTTCTGTGCAAATTTCTCCTGGTTCCCCTATTGGCTCCATTCTTCACAGAGCATCTGGAAAGATCTTTTGAAAAAGGACTCAGATCTGGCCATTCCCATTGATGCTGCACTTGAAATAAGAGCTAACCTTCTGACCTAGCTCCCTAGCTGGACTACCATCAACTCCTGCCCACTTTCTCTTCAACTTCACATCCGACCACTGCCCCCTGTGCATACAGCACAGCGTGGCTGACTGGGCTGGTTCTGTGGAACAGGTCAAGCCTGTTTTTGCCCCCTAGGATTTTGCATGGGTGGCTCCATCTTCCCGGAATTCTTTTTCTCTTGGTATTCTTCCAGTGGGCTCTGACCCCTCATTCAAATATCTACCTAAGGATCAACTCCCAAGCCTTTCCTGAGCTTCCAATCTAAAGCAGTTACTAAATCCTGTTAACATCGACTAACCTTAACCACCTGTACAGTACATACTTCTGACCATTTTTCTCTTGCATCCAGGTACTTTTCTTCCTCTCATTTGGAATATCAGCTCCAGGAGATCAAAGGCCTTGTGTGTGCAGTTACTTCTGCACAGTGCCACAGTGCCACAACAAGGCCACACTGTCTCTACTTCCTTCCAATAATGCTATCAAATTGTTGATGGATTGCTCTAGTGATAAAATTCAAGTACTCAGGAGCTAATCATTTCTAAAACACCTCATCAGTGGCAACCAACACTTTAGCACAAGAATCTGTGAAGGACATTTCAGGCTGAAACTGTAACAGGTATACTTATTCCAATCTGAACAGCAGTCTTTAAATGTAGCCAGACATTGTTTTCCTCAAAGTGGCCTTTTGTCTCTATTTATTTACAATACTACAACTGTGAAATTTTATTTGTTGCAGGACAAAATATCATTCTATTATTTCCTTTCTTGATCAGCTTCTTCTTATACCACCAGAGTCCCTTCCTTCCTTCTCAATAACCACAAATGTTTCCAATTGCTTTTTCCTACATGCTTATTTATTAAATATGTGTTTTAAATAGTTGTTTTTTGTAACATCCTTTTCTGGCACTCTCCCTTCTAGTTCATTCTATATTCTTCTAATGTTGTCCAGTTATCTTAGGCCTGTAGTTCAGTTACCATTGTGGAACTTCACTACATTTTTTTTAGATTGGAGGCACTGTATCCTGAATTACATCAATATCTCTTAATTTACTACTTTTTTTTTTTTTACTAGAATATGTCCTTAAATAACTCTCTAGGAAAAGATGTTCTAGGTAACTTTTCTGAAAATGACTTCTCAGAATTGTTTTTAGGCCTTTATATGAAACAGATAACTTTTCTTTGTGTAAAATGTTAAGTTTGAAAACATTTTTGCTGAAACTTTGAAGATATTTATCAATTGCCTCTAATTCTGTTCTGATACTTCTGTCTGTGATAGTTCCCCCCCAAACTTTTTCCTTTTTTTCTTTCTCACTCTCTACATATTATATAATACATAATATATAATATGTATATACTAAAGATACACAAACACACTTATGTGTGTATATATGTATTGTATTTATTTATATGTTTCTTTTGGGTTTATTTAAAATGTTGCCTCTTGTCTGCTGTTTGAAAGAATTTACGGTAATTGTACTTAGGAACTAATAAGAACCTTCTATTATTCTTTCATTATAAGCACATAGTGGGCCCTATCAATTTAGACACTCATACTCCGTATTTATGAAAAAATTTCTAAAATTATTACTTTGACTTCTTCTTTCCCTGAGATAGCTGGAAATAAAGCTCTCAAATTTATTCTCTAACATATTCCAAATTTTTGTCATTTTGTTCTACTTTAGGGCATTTCTTTGAATTTAATTTTCCAATTATTCTATTACTTTTTACCTTAACAAACATGTTTTAAGACCTCTATTTTGTCATTTGTGGGACTTGAACTGAGAGCTTGGCACTGTCCCTGAGTTTTTTCCCTAAGAGCTAGTGCTCCACTTTTGGTTTTTTGGTGGTTAACTGGAGATAAGAGTCTCACAGACTTTCCTGTGTAGGCTGGCTTTGAACTGAGTTCCTCAGATCTTTAAAGCCTCTGGCTTTAAACTGTGATCCTCAGGTCTCAGCCTTCTGAGTAGCTAGAATTACCAGCGTGAGCCACCAGTGCCCGGCAAAATCCTTTATAATCATTGTTTAGTCTATCAAGTGCTGAGTGCTTATTCACAATGACAAGAATTCTGTCTAATAGCTGGCTAGAAAAAGGATAATTTTCTGTAAGTCTCCCCTTTTGGAAGAAGAAATCTGAAGGCAAAAATATGGGGGAGATGTAAGATTTTCTTTTTATGTCCCTCATATTTAATTCATTATAGAGTCTTGTCACTTTGCTTCTGCCTTAAATGCTCTGTGCTAAATTTTTATTATTAAAAATATTGAGTGTTTTATAGTTCTCATTGGCAGGAAAGGTATTTTGAAAATTTATTACTTACCAAGTTCTTCCAATATGCCAATATGCCAGATACAATTAGATGAACAGAGGATTAATTTATATCTATATCTATGTCTCTATCTATATATATCAGCTAAATGTTATTTAGCAGAGGAATTTAGAAATTTCATGAAACTTCTTTAGGTTTAAATCTAAGCTGAGGTACAGAAAGGAGAACTTGGTGTAGACCATTCTGCACTATTGGTTTGAATTATTTGAAAACATTGTATTTAGAGACATAGATCTCTGGGGTTTTAAGGGGTCCTGGATTTGGTGGAGTTAGTGACCATTTCTGAAATAAATTACCTATATATAGCATCTTTATCATTACAATTAAGTCATAGACCTTAAATTCATAATCCCATCATAATGTTTCTCTTAAGGGATCCAATGTCAACAAATACTCTGCAAGACATTTATTGAATAAACAGTGTGCTGAACACAGTTGTTCTACTCAGAAGCTCAAGTTTACTGGCGGGTAATGGAAATTAGAAGAAAAAAAAAACCTAGAAGTAGATTGATAACTAACATGCATTAGTAACTGATTAGTAATTGATGATAGTTCTCTTCCCAGATCTACTTAACATTTCTTACCACACCCTATGAGAACCAGAAATCTAGCTCAAAGAACTTTCTTTCCCAAAGGTTCTGAGAAGAGGAGAGAGCCTAAGGAATGTATTTACAAACATCTGTAACCCAGATGGGTCTATCAAAGGGAGAGTATTTTTCAGGCTTGGGACTGGTCAGAGGAGATATGAATTATAGATATGTTACATAGCCAATTGAACAGAATTACCAAAATAGAAGAACTTGGCTTGTGGATTTGGAGGGCTGCATAAGCCAGATGTCTCTTTCTACTTGAGAGAGAGGGGGGACGGGGAGAGGGAGAGAGGGGAAGAGGGAGAGGGAGAAGGAGAGAGAGTTGAGGGGAGAGGGAGAGGGAGAGAGAGTTGAAGAAACAGAGTTGAAGAGTTGAAGAAAGGGAGTTGAAGAAAGGAAGTTGAGTGTCTACTTCACAAAAAAATCACAAATATCCTTAACCATTTCTTATGGTGTGCTCTAGGTAGCCAAGCCAAAAGAAGCTCTGCTTCAAGGTGAACTCAGTTTCCTTGACCTTTACAGGCATCGGCTTCATTTGATTATTCACTCTGTTACTTTTATTCCTCTAAAATTATATCTGAAAGATATCCACACTGCTGCTGCGTCTACTTTCCATCCTTCACTTTTCTCCTTTTTCTAAGAGTAAACTAGATCTGGAACAGTGGACTCTTCCTGCCCAACCCCCTCCCACCTCTCTCCGGTTTCATAATATTGTTGATGAGGGGAAAAAATTACCAAGTGAAAACAAATGGCTGAGCACAGATGGTTTTTTAAGTTGTCAATCAGCCAGTGTCAGACCATGCTATAAAGCAGACAGGGGGATACTATTCCGTTTCTGAGGCCTAGGGTGAGCTAACATCTCTGTGTGTTGGTGACTCCATTTCTCATCCCTGCTACCTTCTCTGAGTCTTATTGGGAGCAGAGGTCAGTTACACGTAGAACACTAGCACCTGGTGTTAAGCCCTCAGAAGGTGAACTAAGAGATGTTTAACAGGTGTGTGGCAGAGTATCATCTACAGTTGTGCCTAGAAAGAGCATATTTTGGAACAGGAGAGAAGATGCATAAGGAATGAAAGGGAACAAATGAAGAAGCTGGTAATTCACAAACTTGGATACCAAGGAGGGGTTAGCTGGGGTGTGTTTACACACACATTGAGGCTGTTGAGCTGAAGGAATGGTAGGATTAGGTCCTTCAGTGGTTGAGTCTGTTAAACATCAGCCAGTTTTCATTATAGATTTCTTTTGAAGTCAGGATTCAAGATCCCTGGCGCCAAAAATAACATGGACAAGGAAAATAAGTGTAAAGCATAGAAGAGGGCAGGGAGAAAAGAAAAGGTGGAGAAACTTTAAAACTGAACAGCAAGAAAACTTCTCAATCCCTTTCCACTTGGAATGCTCAAAGTGTGCACTTGACAAAGGTACTGGGGGGAAGAAATAAGAGATAAG